GTGTAGTCGGTGCTCCACTGGAGTACACCGTCGGTGCAAGTCGGTGCTCCACTGGATACAGTGTCGGTGTAGTCAGTGCTCCACTGGACACACCGTCGATGCAAGTCGGTGGTCAGTAAACCGACACTGCACATCCCTATCTTGAAGTGAACTCAAAATCTATAGTATTGTACGTTTAACTTAGATCAAATTATATTGATATTCATCCGCTTAATAGCACACAGTTGGATCTACTTTGAAATCTTTCTGTGAGAAAACAATAATGCTCTCAGCAGAAGTACAGTCTGTCGCAAAAATAAAAAATTTCCTCAACGCCAAAATTTAACTAAAAAAGGAGCAATTCCCTTGTCAGATTTATATGGCAAAAAAAATCACAACTTCTTCAGATATTGCAAGCACACATTAGCAAAAAAGACATTTATGATTCAATATCGTTGGATTCGAGTAATCTTCGTACTTGTACTTCGCATAAAATTGATTTAAACAATTAAGCGCAGAGAATCAACTTTTCAAACTTGATATTGTTCACTGCTTTTCATCGACATGACTAAAATAATCATTCAGTGAACATCTAATAAATAGATAATCTCAACATATTGGTGGTACATTCCACTATAACATTATTTCTTCATCGAACGAACTGTGTTGTAAAAGCAAACCAAAAAAAGAACGGTACTGACACTACATGAAAGATATGGATGATTGTTTCACAATTTAAATAACACGAAAAATAAGAAGAAAGCTACACCATCTTCTCGGTGCATTTGTAAATAAACTAAGATTCGTCTGAAAAACTGTAAAGTTTTTCCTACCTAGAAGGGAAAAATGCTTCGAGATGTTAATAAATTTTCAAAAACTTTCCGTACATGCCCGTAAGTGCACGTGGGTACACTCTGCATCTATGGCTCATAGAATATGTCCACAGAAAAAATTAATATGATATAGAACTTGGTGGACAATCGTTTAGCCATCTATCGACATGTGAGACGAAAATATGAGATAAAAAAGATCAGGATTTATACCAACTTTATTTTTTAAATGAACATCGATCAAATAAAAAAAAAGCTTCAATGTAAAAATAGAAAAGAAAAGAAAAAAGTCGACATGAACAGTATATCTGACTATTAGAGACGCATGAGGACTGTCACTGTGCATATGTATCTTCTAATTGAGGAACATTGTCATAAATGCTTGCATTGTCATCTATTGATAACCATCCCATGTTGCCAATACCGGATCAATTTTTGCGGTAAACCGCGGTATTTATCCGTTCTGCGGTAATGAGAGCCGGTAACCGAACCGGTAAAGCCGCGGTTAACCGCCGATTTTTATGCGGTTTTCATTACATGGGATTGTTTCACCTGAATGTATATGGCTGACAACCGTTGATCGAAATTTGGAAATGCATAATGAAAAATAATTAACAAATAACCGGCTACTATTGACAATGATTCTAATACAGCAATGTCCCACTCATTATTTGTGAAGTTTGTATAAAATAGTAGACTTGATGCGACTGCCATTATGATTACTGGTATCAACGGTGGCCCATACAAGCCGTAGGGCAAATAGGTATTGAATAAAGTCGACAATAACACGGCCATTTTCCCAATCATTAATGATAAATTGTAATTTGTGCACAGATCGACATGAGGAAAAATATAAAATTGTGGATATTCATGTAGCAATTGTGAACAATTAACCATAATATATTGAAATATGTTTGATCGATTTCGTTTAAATGAATTAAAATTAACTACGGCTTGGCTCACGTTTATCGAATGTTCAAATAACATCCCCATAGAAAACATGGCTGGAATTGATATGAGCCCATTAACTAAAATTAATATGATATAGAACTTGGTGGACAATCGTTTAGCCATCTATCTACCAATAGAAAAATGTGACATCATCATTATATAAAGTCATCGGAAACGATCAGATTTTGTTGGCAATTGTCTAGTTCTTTCGAAATATTTCTACGTTTGTAATGTATACAATACAAATATTTCGATCATATTCTCTAAGAATTTGAAATTTAGAAATAAAGAATACAATCTGAATAAGTGATGTTCTCATCGACTATGAACAAATAACGACTGCCTTTATGTTTATTTCTCTATTCTCTCTCTGTCTTCATGTTTGATCAGTCAGTGGATTGATCAATAATTACTTAGGAACAATAGATGCCGCATCATCCAAAACATAATATTCTTCGAATGGTATATACGTATATCATTCATTAATAAGGAATTAGAAAAAGATAATTCTAATCAAATTTGTCATGAAAACCAAATTTTGATGATCTACAAAAATGCATCGAAATTTTATGTTAAAAAAATTCACTTCATAAATCTGTTAAAGTAGAATTTAATTTAAAAGATGCTAAACAAAGGTGAGTAAATGCTATATATCGTTGATTCGTTGATTGTATTAAAAACAAAGATGAACCAGCTGTTCAGTACATATAGGAGTATATCTTAGACAAAGTATAATGGATTGTGTACATGATTATATGAAGAGCGTTGCATCATTTCGACATAAATCTTTAATTTTTGTTGATAGTCTGTCTTTGGAAAAGAATTGACATGAAGTTTTACTCAATTCCCATTGGAGAAACTCTTAAAAATAAAAGAACTGATAATACATTAGCAACTCAAGCTTTATCTTATTTAGGTTCGAAGACTTTGGAATATAAACAAAGAAGTTGTTGAATTTTTATCTAGTAATAATAGTACAATACGATTAGAAGAGTCATTAGTTTTCTGTAGTAGACTCGACTCGAAAACACTACACAGGCATTTTGCATATTTACAAACTCAAAATTGATGATTAGAATCAAATGTTACATCGATTTTCCAGTGTAGAAACAGTTTTACGTGAATTCAGTGAAATATTTCGACAATGTTTCAATGATAACAGGTTCTTTCTACCAAGCAGTAATCAAACTAGAAAAGAAATTTTAAACCAAATTAAAGTGTTGATGACATTCAAGAAAATCATGCAAATTTTTTATAACAAGAAATGATTGGATATTATACGACAATGTGAAAACATTCTACAAGACAATGATGAAAAGGCTAATAATGAGAATAGTCAATGCTTACGACAATGTAATTATGGATACAACAGAAGCATATAAGACGAGTTTATTAGCTTTTCGTCATTGTGCTTTGACAGCTTTTAATCATTTGATGAGTTTTTATCGACTTTTGAAGCGACTAACAGTAAACAATTGAGATGTTCGATAGCACAAAGTTTGGATAAATTATTGACATTCTGTGGTTATTCGAACGAGAACTGATGATGATTATTGAAATGTATGTATAGTAAAATATAAATGAGATAGAAAACATCTACAATCGAGAAATCAAAAGAACAGAACAGAAAAACTTTCGCAAATGCGGGTTCTTTCTGGAAAATCCAGAAGATCTGACAACCCTAGAACAAAACAGAACTAAAATCGAAAAGCCCATTTCCATGATGAATATGTACATAAGTTTTTCACAAAACGTTTTCTCCGTCTCTCTCTTATCATTTGTTTTACACGAATTATTAATATCAATTTCTGTTGCTATGGATTATGGATACAATAAAAGCAAATATTTTCGATATTTGTATTCATTTGGATTCATCAGTTTCATTGAAGAAGTGCGAATGTATTTCGATAGTATCTGATGAGTTAATCATGAAATTCTATGATTATTTCACTTCTCTACAAGATGATTCTTTGTATTCTCTTGAAAGAAAGTCTTTTCACTTGATACATTTTTAGTTACTAGAAAACTATGAAATCATATGCTGCATTTTGTCTCCATTAATCTAACTCTAGCGTAGTATATCCTGATATTTAATGCAGACACTAGATATATACCATTGGAAAAATATGATGTTCTGGATGATACGCCATCTATTGTACCTACCCAGGTCGAACAGTACGGTTCGTATACGGCCATTGACGGTTACTTTACGACTATTTTACGGACGAAATTTTGCCGTAATATCTGGCGTAGTAATACGGACCGTATTATCATGAGAGTACGGAGCACAAACAGCCGTAAACCATGAAAATTCAGTTCCGTTTACGGTGCCGTATTACTGCGCCAGGTGTTACGGGCAAATACGGACTATTTACTGCCGTAAAGATACCGTTTTGACATCGTTTACCGTCGACAAACAGATCGTAAACGAGTCCGTTTTGATCAACCTGGGTAAGTAATTATTGATCAATCCACTGACTGATCAAACATGAAGACAGAGAGAGAATAGAGAAATAAACATAAAGGCAGTCGTTATTTGTTCATAGTCGATGAGAACATCACTTATTCAGATTGTATTCTTTATTTCTAAATTTCAAATTCTTAGAGAATATGATCGAAATATTTGTATTGTATACATTACAAACGTAGAAATATTTCGAAAGAACTAGACAATTGCCAACAAAATCTGATCGTTTCCGATGACTTTATATAATGATGATGTCACATTTTTCTATTGGTAGATAGATGGCTAAACGATTGTCCACCAAGTTCTATATCATATTAATTTTAGTTAATGGGCTCATATCAATTCCAGCCATGTTTTCTATGGGGATGTTATTTGAACATTCGATAAACGTGAGCCAAGCCGTAGTTAATTTTAATTCATTTAAACGAAATCGATCAAACATATTTCAATATATTATGGTTAATTGTTCACAATTGCTACATGAATATCCACAATTTTATATTTTTCCTCATGTCGATCTGTGCACAAATTACAATTTATCATTAATGATTGGGAAAATGGCCGTGTTATTGTCGACTTTATTCAATACCTATTTGCCCTACGGCTTGTATGGGCCACCGTTGATACCAGTAATCATAATGGCAGTCGCATCAAGTCTACTATTTTATACAAACTTCACAAATAATGAGTGGGACATTGCTGTATTAGAATCATTGTCAATAGTAGCCGGTTATTTGTTAATTATTTTTCATTATGCATTTCCAAATTTCGATCAACGGTTGTCAGCCATATACATTCAGGTGAAACAATCCCATGTAATGAAAACCGCATAAAAATCGGCGGTTAACCGCGGCTTTACCGGTTCGGTTACCGGCTCTCATTACCGCAGAACGGATAAATACCGCGGTTTACCGCAAAAATTGATCCGGTATTGGCAACATGGGATGGTTATCAATAGATGACAATGCAAGCATTTATGACAATGTTCCTCAATTAGAAGATACATATGCACAGTGACAGTCCTCATGCGTCTCTAATAGTCAGATATACTGTTCATGTCGACTTTTTTCTTTTCTTTTCTATTTTTACATTGAAGCTTTTTTTTTATTTGATCGATGTTCATTTAAAAAATAAAGTTGGTATAAATCCTGATCTTTTTTATCTCATATTTTCGTCTCACATGTCGATAGATGGCTAAACGATTGTCCACCAAGTTCTATATCATATTAATTTTTTCTGTGGACATATTCTATGAGCCATAGATGCAGAGTGTACCCACGTGCACTTACGGGCATGTACGGAAAGTTTTTGAAAATTTATTAACATCTCGAAGCATTTTTCCCTTCTAGGTAGGAAAAACTTTACAGTTTTTCAGACGAATCTTAGTTTATTTACAAATGCACCGAGAAGATGGTGTAGCTTTCTTCTTATTTTTCGTGTTATTTAAATTGTGAAACAATCATCCATATCTTTCATGTAGTGTCAGTACCGTTCTTTTTTTGGTTTGCTTTTACAACACAGTTCGTTCGATGAAGAAATAATGTTATAGTGGAATGTACCACCAATATGTTGAGATTATCTATTTATTAGATGTTCACTGAATGATTATTTTAGTCATGTCGATGAAAAGCAGTGAACAATATCAAGTTTGAAAAGTTGATTCTCTGCGCTTAATTGTTTAAATCAATTTTATGCGAAGTACAAGTACGAAGATTACTCGAATCCAACGATATTGAATCATAAATGTCTTTTTTGCTAATGTGTGCTTGCAATATCTGAAGAAGTTGTGATTTTTTTTGCCATATAAATCTGACAAGGGAATTGCTCCTTTTTTAGTTAAATTTTGGCGTTGAGGAAATTTTTTATTTTTGCGACAGACTGTACTTCTGCTGAGAGCATTATTGTTTTCTCACAGAAAGATTTCAAAGTAGATCCAACTGTGTGCTATTAAGCGGATGAATATCAATATAATTTGATCTAAGTTAAACGTACAATACTATAGATTTTGAGTTCACTTCAAGATAGGGATGTGCAGTGTCGGTTTACTGACCACCGACTTGCATCGACGGTGTGTCCAGTGGAGCACTGACTACACCGACACTGTATCCAGTGGAGCACCGACTTGCACCGACGGTGTACTCCAGTGGAGCACCGACTACAC